ATGGACAAATTAGCATTTACAGATTGTGATTTGTGTAAATAACCAATTTAAGTATATTCTTATTCATTATAAAACCCAAATTACGTTATTTATACAAATTGTTCCGTTTTGATTTTCATTCAAAAGTAATGAAGAAATGCCAGGCAACATTAAAATACGAGCGTCTCTACCCTGTATATGCTGTAACACATTCCTATTTTACGGATATACACGATCAGATCTTTAAATAAGAGCGAATTATTTGGAAGCTTTCTAAACTTATAGATTTTACGTGATGCTAAAGGTTTCTACCTGTACAGCTGTAATTATTCTACAAACGCAGCGATGACAAAACCCCACAACTTTCATTGATGCCAACGGGTATATATGCATTTTACATTATAGTGATTTAAACGTGCATACATAAGTTTTACTAATTATGTGATCGTCATAAGCAAATAGTTTAGATGAAATGTTCAGGTCAATTCTAGATAACAAATAATCTTTCTACCTTGTTCTAAGTATTTAATCTCTGTTATTTGATATCATGACTTGAATGTTTAACTTATCAAATGCAGATAAAGAAAAGAAGCATATATCACATACATCGTCAAGAAAAAATAACAATAAAACAAGTAAAATTATTTATTAAATTGTAATGATTATAGCCCCGCCTTCTTTGGTAAGTCACCCTAAAAATTACAAGCTATTGCTTATATACTTTTAGTGCCTTCATCGCTTTGATTAAGATACATTTTTAATAACATGTTGGTATATTCAATCTTTAAATCTTTAAAAAAAAGTAGACAGACAGACTGACTGGCCGGCTGTTTGATTGATTGATTGATTGATTCATTCATTCATTCATTCATTCATTCATTCATTCATTCATTCATTCATTCATTCATTCATTGATCTCCTTTGTTTATTCTTTTCCAGTTGTATGTCATTAGTTATTTATATTCCTATATTCAGTATATTTATCTTTAAATCAAGATGCCTTGTACCGAATACAGAACTAACCCCAGTGTCAGACTTTGAGGCAGACGACACTTTATCGTCACCAGACAGTAAATTTGTTTTATCGACAGGACAAATAATTGTTCGAAAAGTTGGCAACGCTGTCTATAGGGTACGATGTAATACAGGCAAATGTACTGTCGCTGGACACAACTTCTGCAAAAAGGTATCAAATATATAATAATGTTCATCTTGATAAAGCGATGTATTGTATATTCGCAGAATATATGGTCAAAATATCTATCAGTTATCCCCGTTGAATCTTCAATCAGGACAAAACAATTCATCATACTGTAGCGAAATTTTTGAGAAAAGTATTGCATGAATATACAGATATGCCCCCAATAGCCTCATGGAAAGAATTTGTTGTCACCAGCATTGTTTGGGTTAATAATAAGATATATTAGTAATGTAAGACACAAAAAATATACATGTAATTCCGGTCAGACTCGAACCTTGAGTTTCCCGCAACAAGGCCGTTTAAAAGCCGTTTCTCCATCGCGTCGTTTTTAAAAACTTGTTGCATGCAGCAAAGATACATTCCTTTTTGTGGTGATGATGTTGGTATTTTTACTCCAGATCACGGCAGTAATGCACATTGTAAGCGTAGAAAAGTTCAGCCATCGCATCGTTCCATTGCAGGCTGTCAAGCAGTTTGCCAGTACTAGTTGCCTTCAATTTCGAAAGGAACTTCTGTGCATGTTAGAGCAGAGATACAGTGTGGATGACTGTAGAAAGGATTTCATTATCAATCGCAACGGAAGTGACCTGCATGGTCCGGGAATCGAACCCAGATCGCCCGATTCACAATCTCTACCGAGCTAACCGAACAGACACTTTCAGTGTGTTTTAGTTTCATTTTAGCTCGATGCCGGAAATTCAAAAGTCCGAGATCTCAAAGTCCATGCCGGTCCACTCTGGGGACGGTTATTTTATGCTGATCTTACTTAACATATTTTTAGCTCACCTGTCACAAAGTGACAGGGTGAGCTTTTGTGATCGCTTTTCGTCCGGCGTCCGTCGTCTGTCCGTCGTCCGTAAACTTTTACTTTAAATGACATCTCCTCATAAACCACAAGGCCAATTTCATCCAAACTTCACAGGAATGTTCCTTTGGTGGTCACCTTTAAAAATTGTTCAAAAAATTTAATTCCATGCAGAACTCTGGTTGCCATGGCAACCGAAAGAAAAAACTTTAAATATCTTCTTTTAAAAAACCATAAGAGCTAGAGCTTAGATATTTGGCATGAAACATCTTCTAGTGAGTGTCTACCAAGTTTGTTCAAATAAAAGCCCTGGGGTCAAAATTGGCCCCGCCCCGGGGGGTCATTGATTTTCCCTATATGCATATAGTAAAAACTTAAAAAATCTTCTTTTAAAGAACTCAAAGAGCTATGGCTAAGATATTGAGCATCAAACATATTCTAATAGGTGTCTACCAAGTTTGTTCAAAGAAAAGCCCTGGGTCAAAATTGGCCCCGCCCCAGGGGGTCATTGATTTTCCCTATATGCATATAGTAAAAACTTAAAAAATCTTCTTTTAAAGAACCAAACGAGTTAGAGCTAAGATATTTAGCATGAAACATGTTCTAATAAGTGTCTACCAAGTTTGTTCAAATAAAAGCCCTGGGGTCAAAATTGGCCCCGCCCCGGGGGTCATTGATTTTCCCTATATATGCATATAGTAAAAACTTTTTTGAAAAAACCCAAATAGCTAGAGTTAAGATATTAAGCATGAAACATCTTTGAGTGAGTGTCTACAAAGTTTGTTCAAATAAAAGACCTTGGGTCAAAATTGGCCCCGCCCCGGGGTCATTGATTTTCCTTATATGTGTATAGCAAAAACTTAAAATCTTCTTTGAAAAAACCCAAATAGCTAGAGTTTAGATATTAAGCATGGAACATATTCTAGTAAGTGTCTACAAAGTTTGTTCAAATAAAAACCCTGGGGTCATAACTGGCCCGGCCCCAGGGGTGTCATTGTTTTTAACTATATGTGTATAGTAAAAACTTAAAAAAAATCTTCTTTTAAATAGCCCAATGAGCTAGAGCTTAGATGTTTAGCATGAAACATCTTCTTATGGGTGTCTACCAAGTTTGTGCAAATAAAAGCCCTTTGGTTAAATTGGCCCTGCAACGTTTGGGGGGGGGGGTTGGGGGGCCTATATACAGGTGAGCGACCTCAGGGCCATCATGGCCCTCTTGTTTGTTCATTGGTGGTTGATGGAGGTACGGCAATACTGCCAAGGCATCAAGTTTCTTGATGGAAACAAACAAAAAAGGGCTCATCCCGAGTTAGTCACAACAGGTCAACCAATTGTCTCTGGTACTTGAGACGATTTGACCTTGACCACTGATGGACAACAGAAGCTTTATAGCTTCATGATTAAACAAATCATAAGAGTACTTACCGTGCTCTCTACATTCCAGCCCAGTACTAGTTAATCAACATTTATTCATAGTTGAAACATATCGCATATTTAAATATCTAATATGATCTATATAAACTTAAATTGTTTGCAATAAAATCTATTTGAAATTATATTACAGAGATGTAGGGCGACAGATAACAATGTTAGCGGAAGTGCTAAGCTTGGTTATATTGGACATAGTTTCACATTGTCTGTGTTAGAGTAAGTTTATTTTGTTATGCAAGATTTATAATTGCATTTGTTTGGTCTTTTGTATAATATATACCAAACACGAACGATGTTATAGATGTTTATGTCACAGACGCTTGGGGTTTGGAGCTCAAAACGCCTTTAAAATCCAAATAAAATGCATATTTGTCAATCCCAGGACATGTACTGATCATATATATCAAAAAATCTTAATATATGCCGTTTTGAAAAAAAATCATATTTCAACATCTATAATAATACACAAGATAAAAATGTTCGCCGGAAAAAATCCGCACCCCTACCGTCATAATCACCATGTATTTTAATCCATTTCCAATATTTTCACATAATCCTTTGGTCCATCGACACAGAAGATATAATTCTTCACGATGATGGTCAATTTTAAACTTCAACGGTAATATAAACAACGCAACAGCCGAAATAAACATCAATATTCTCGCCGTTTTTTTTCAACGACAAAAACTTTCGATAAATTCAATGGACCAGACGGCTATGAACGAAGCTATCCGATTATGTGGCCCCAGCTTTGCCGTGTGCAAAATGCGCAGCGCTTTTAAGTTTGGGAACCACATAATCGGATAGCTTCGTTCATAGCCGTCTGGTCCATTGAATTTATCGAAAGTTTTTGTCGTTGAAAAAAAACGGCGAGAATATTGATGTTTATTTCGGCTGTTGCGTTGTTTATATTACCGTTGAAGTTTAAAATTGACCATCATCGTGAAGAATAATATCTTCTGTGTCGATGGACCAAAGGATTATGTGAAAATATTGGAAATGGATTAAAATACATGGTGATTATGACGGTAGGGGTGCGGATTTGTTCCGGCGAACATTTTTATCTTGTGTATTATTATAGATGTTGAAATATGATTTTTTTTCAAAACGGCATATATTAAGATTTTTCGATATGTATGATCAGTACATGTCCTGGGATTGACAAATATGCATTTTATTTGGATTTTAAAGGCGTTTTGAGCTCCAAACCCCAAGCGTCTGTGGTTTATGTGTGATAGATGAATCAGTGGCATCGATTAGGTGTGTACACACAGCATATACACGGATATATGATTTGTTTTGTTAATTTTTTTCTACCGGATACACCAGTTATGCATTCATATATTTGCGACCAGTCAATTAACTAGTTAATTAATTAATTAACTTCTGTACCAATAATTTGATTTTCTCCACAAACCAGAGGCTCATAGAAATCGAATGTGCACGAGACATAATGCTACCCCAGACGAATTAAGCGGGCAAGAAATTGTCACTACAAACAAATATTTGTAATATATACAGTGTACTAAAAGTTGCGAATATCTGTACAATTCTTGATAACGTTGTTTATTTCACACCTAATACGATATAACCAACGAACACCAGTCATTTTCCAGTGGAAATAATTATTGGATCAATTCTTATCAATTTAACCTCGTTTGAATCATTTTCTATCGTACATACCCCATATAGCCTCGTTTTTCATTTTTATAGTCCAGAAATCTATATCAATATGATATATATTGTCCTTAAAGTTACAATGTTCTGTCAAAATTTAAAAAATGGCGGTGTGAAATAAAGAGGTCATTATACATTGTTTTGTACGATACTGATTCTTTTGGACTGGTACACAGATGGAAAAAAACATGAAACATTAATTATTCAGAATATCATATTATTCTGCCAGCGCCTTGTCAGAAATAGATTTGACAGTTGTGTATCCGTCAAGTAGAATTCAGTATTGTACTCAGCAATGTATGATAACCTCATATTATCACATTAACGTCCAACCAAAAATAAATCATGAGTTTCATTTATTTAGAATTCACTTTGCATCATTATATTAGACAGCAGCCATTTTTAGTATTGGGAAATAAATTTTTAAAATTGATTACACTAAACCCATTTATATAAAAAAAAACTTTTTAAAATAAATTTGATGGCACTTTATTTGTAAACGTTTTATTGGAACTAAACGTGTAAATTTCAGTGTAGTGAACGTGCCAGCTTTAAATATGAATCTACAAGGACCAAATGGTCAAGCGTTGTCGAGAACAAGTGATCCAGTCACTATTGGAAACAATGTCAACTTTGGTGCTGAAGTTACACCTGGTGGTACAGGACCGGCCAGTAAGATTGTTTAACCCACAACCTTCTGAATTTGTGTAATAACATTGCTCTTCAGCCAGTTGAAAATTTAAGGGATTTAAATATCTACATGCTAGAGCCTGATCAGACTGGACGGATATGTAGGCTGGCCATTGGTGTCAAACGTTAATCACTTTCGGCGCCAGCAGGTTGTCGTTAAAGTTTTAATTAAAACAGTGGTGTTTTGAATATATAAGTATGCTCACATATATTAGTATGCTTGAAATATGATCTAACTTTTCAAATGTTATATAAAATATTAAAATTTCAAAACTTATTTCATAGTCAACAGTGAATTTTTTCATAAGTTTATAACTTCATTTCTGTATTCAGGTGCAGCTTTCGTAAATGCAAAAGGTATATTCCTCCATAGTTGCTATGCAACACAGAATAATCAACGACGGATGTTCATTGATGAGAAAGGGTACGTAGACGCGTCTTTACATCAATGCTGTTTAATTTAGTCAAATCCGAATAGATAATAAAAAATACAACATCTGTCATGTTTAAGCATTTTTGGATCTCCCAACAATATGCGCCATCTTAGGTGGACAATGAGATATTATCATATACGTTATAAAATTGCACGGAATCTACGTGTCTGCGCTTCTCAACTCGTATCTTTCAATAGTATACTACAATGTACTCAATATATAAAATCTAAGTCAGTCTTAAGAACAGTACGCGGTCCGTGATCATGGACACTAGCGGCACAGACCACCATAATTATATTATTCGAAATTTCCGGTAGTTGCCTTCTGATGTTTTGGCGCAATTTATATATACATGTAGTTATTTTTTACACTAAAAAAGCTTAAGCATGTATTTGACCGCACTTCCTTCTTTACAGTTGTTCAGTTGCAGGGTCGCCGTATAAAACTTCTGAAAACTGTAAAGATGTTACAGAAGTGGACGGGGTACCACCATTTAAGATAGACTGTGGAACATTTACAGTCCCGGATACCGGAGATGTAGAACAGACCTGTAATATAAGCATTTGTACAACGGAAAATAATAAATTCTGCGAAAATGTAAGGAATATATCAGATATGAGTAAGATTTACGAATAATTATCCTCGTGCGGACACGGACTGCAGGACGAACGTTCGGACGGACGGACAATCCAATCACTGTGTGCTTCCTACTTTTTAAATGAAAATTAGTTTGAATCTGGAGACATTCAACGAAGTGTTTGTTAATATTGTTTGCTTTTGTAATGATATATATTTTCTATAAAATTGTCTATATCACAGACAAAAGAGTGAGTTTTTAGTTTAGTTATGAATGATGCGCATTTTAAATTAATGAAGAAAAAAAAAAGAAAAAGAAAAATATATGGTCCTAAAAACGTGATAGTTGGGACGGAGGTCAGGAGCTCCACACAATAACTCTTTATGGTTCTTTATATGTTGTTTCAGCAAAACATATCATATTCGTTTATGTCCTACTACATATAAAGTAGCATTGGTCAATATTTTCATATTAATGCTTTGATTTCCTATACGTGTTAAGGTCAATATTTTCATATTAATGCTTTGATTTCCTATACGTGTTAAGGTATATATAGGTATATCGGTATAAACGTGTTTGTATTACTACAACTTTATTTTACCATATTTACAGCGGTGCACTGCAGGAGAAATTCAACCAGATTCGAATGTAGTTAACCCAAATTTGTCAACTACCGCTGCATTCCGAACTCAAGATACCACCAGACCAAGAACAGCTGTCAGTAAGTATTATATTTAAGTCCATTAAATCAGCGAACAAAATAATTATGTGTACAGTCTATAGACTAGTATATATATAATGTATCGACTATGTTATAGGTCTGTTTGTTTAACAAAGTATTCTAGCCCTTGCGTATTTTTAAGTTCTTCTGGATCTTATATCTGTACTAACATGTATTCCCTAGACTTTATATAAGCTTCTGGAATCATAGACATCGGACGCTTGTCGAAAAACATCTTGCCTTTTCAACAAGTAAACTCCGTTTGCGAATCCCAGGTTCGTATAGACCTAGTGCGGTCCAAAAGGGTTAATCCTGTATAAATGATTATACCCCAAATAGAGAAGTTACATGACCATTCCTGATTGAACATACCGACATGCGTGTCCAGGCAAATATATATTGTCCGCTTATAATTTTAACATTATATACCACTTCATTATACATGTACTTCATAAGAAAGACAATTCAAGCATTTGTTAACGATTAGCGAATGTATATACGTACATGTGACACGATTCAAAATAACATTAAAAGAATACCTTATCAAACAATATGTCTGCTGAAGATTTAGTGGTGTCATTATTGGTGTATTTTTTTATTTCAGAATCTGAAGAGTTGCGGAACACCATCGCCGCCGTGAGCGTCGTTTTAGCAGCTCTCATTCTGCTTGGTGTAACAGTGGGAACGTGTATTATTGTTAACAAGCAGAAATCCCTAGCTAAACGTAAACTGGATGGCAGACGATACAATTATTACTAAATATAGACCTGTTTGGCTAAAATCATGTTTCATTATACTCAATATGTATATTTGATAATGTATGGTTATAATTATATAACATCTCACTAGTAATTTGAATGAAGAATGTTGTTGTATATTGATTGTCATAAAGGATAAATGTACAAAAGACTTCTAAGAACAATATTTCAGATACAATATTTCAAAAACAATAATGTCTTACAATATTGTATTACTTGTTCCTGTAGTTTTGGTCATTATACAGACAGGAATTAAAAAAACATTTATTAAATCAAAAATTATTTGAATAAATAACACCAAGACCATAAGAATTTCCTTAAAGTGTTGTCGAAGTTATTATAAGATAATTATTTAATGCATTTATTCAGGATTGCAATTCTATAGCTAGATATTATTAAAATAGTTATCCTTAAACCGAGTTGTTGTCTATATGATATTTAACCATGCCCAGAATTACATAGCAACTAGCATATTGTTTATTATCAATTCATATGAAGATTAATGAACGTGACTCATGTGGTGCTCAAACTATATATCCCTGCATTAAGGGACCATACTTCAGTCGTTTAGTATATTGACCGGCTAATGTCAACAACTCATTATATAAACAAATGATATCTAAGAGTATCACAATCTAACAAAGATGATTTATTGTTGTTACGTCTGAGAAATCGCCTGTACTGTAAACGTAGATGTGTCACCCTAAAATGAAGCAAAGCTGGTGCCTCACTTACTTTTAAATATCGCATTATTTTCGCACAATGTCGCGATACTGCAATCACTGGTAGTTATAGATAACAATAGTAACGCAAATTAGCCAACGTTGCCATGTCTTATTCACAATTTAGCTCGTCATTCAATATAAACTTTAAGGAAAATGTTATGCCGAATTTCAAGTCACCCGCATATTAAGCTCATCAATCAATATTGGGCAAAATTAATGCCAGAATGCCGTGCCATAGATATTCATATAGATTATATATACATATACATTTTTTGTGCTGCATGCTCAGCTAGGTTAATTCGTACTTTACAGTTACCCACTAGGATAATAACCAACTAGGACAGTAGGCCACTAGGACAGTAACACATCAGAACAATATCCCACTAGCACAGTAACCCACCAGGACAATATCCCATTTAGACAATAACCCACAAGGACAATATTCCACTAGGACCATAACCAACTAGAACGGCAGCCCAATAGGACAGTAACCCACCAGAACAATATCCTACTAGGACAGTAACCCACTAGGACAATATCCCACTAGGACAATATCCCACTAGGACAATATCCCATCAGGACAGTAACCCACCAGAACAATATACCACAAGGACAATATCCCACTAGGACAGTAACCCACCAGAACAATATCCCACTAGGACAGAAACCCACCAGAACAATATCCCACTAGGACAGTAACCCAGCAGAACAATATCTCACTAGGACAGTAACACACTAGGACAATATCCCACTAAGTCAGTAACCCACCAGAACAATATCCCACTAGGACAATATCCCACTAGGACAGTAACCCACTGGGACAATATCCCACTAGGACAGTAGCCCACTAGGACAATATCCAACTAGGACAGTAACCCACTAGGACGATATCCCACTAGGACAGAAACCCACTAGAACAATATCCCACTAGGACAGTAACCCACCAGAACAATATCCCAGTAGGACAGTAACCCATCAGAACAATATCCCACTTTCCCACTAGGACAGTAACCCTCTATGACGATATCCCACTAGGACAGTAACCCACCAGAACAATATCCCACTAGGACAGTTACATACTAGGACAATATCCCACTAGGAAAAGAACACCCACTTACACATAAGCCCACTAAGACACAGCCCACTACGGACAATATCCATCCGGTCAAAAAGCATATTGGAACAATTGACCTCTAGGACAACAGCCCAAATGGACAATAGCCCACTAGGAAAAAAGCCCACTGGTTAAATAGCCCACTAGGACAATAGCCCACTAGGACAAAGCCAACCAGAACAATAGACCTCTAGGAAAATAGCTCACTTATATATAAAGCATAATGTATCTCATATTCCACCAGATTTGATATCATTGATTAGTAGAATTATGTAATATTATTTTTTAATGTTAAGAAATTGTTACAGTTTATATTCAGCATTAGATATGTATTATAGAATTATATACAATGTTTAGGTAAATCTAATTCATACTTCATCTCAATTGACATTAAGATTGTGAAAAAAACACAAGCCATTTTCCCAAATAGATTAATTTTCATAATCAAAAATGTATAAATAAAACTCAATAATTGCATTATTCATAATACTTGAATCTAAAGTACATTTGAATCCCCCTTTTATAAGCAGTGGGCTAATGTCCTCCCTGCCAAATTTTATCATTGTCCCAGTGGGTTATTGTCCGTTCCCCGTGGGTTTATGGTGGTACTTAAAATTAAGAAACTGAATGCCCTAAGTTTTCCGGTTTCGAATTATCATGATGAATATATCAGCCAAATATGTATTATTTCTTTTAACAGTTCACCATCTTTTTCAATTCCACTCGGTTTTTTTAAGGAAAGGCAAATGTGTCTTATATATAAAGTTTTAATAATGGATTTAGAACACATTAGAAAATGATCACGTGAAAAGAGCACTGTTGATGTGAAATAATCTGTCATAATTGTAACCGTATAAAATATCTTTTGGCCATTTTCAAAAGAAAACCTCCACATTTTTATTTGTTTATGTTAAAGGAACATCATTTTTACGATATTCACAAAATTGTTTATATATCAACTTACACGAATATGTTTGATGTACATGTATTTAGTTATCTATGTTTAAAATTCTGTATGTGTGTTAATGATATATGTTGTATATAATTCATTATGTTTAAAATAAATAAGGTCATTCACTGACCATTTAATCACATATGGCATTGTTTTTCCTTACACCGGCCGTCATAAATCTAAGCTATGTTTTGCATAGCGATTTTTATGTAAGCAGGTGAAAGGAACGGGATAACGGGTGCTAGACCATTAAAGACTGTCGGCCAATGAAAATCGTTAATATCCCTTAAAGAATTTCGGCCAATGAAAATCGTTAACCCTTATCAGCACGCCGCTCCGAGAACCGGTTTAAACCAGTTACGATTGCGGCCGGACACTCTAAACAAAGAAAATTTTGCATTTTAAACCCACCACCATCCCCAACTCCACACTTTATAAAAATTTACAAACATAATCTGATACCTTTAAGTATGCCTATGCTTCAAAATATTTTACTATAGAATTTATACTCCAACTTAGTTTGTATATAGCTTCAGGGTTTGTTTACATCCAATTTATGGTGTCATTTTCTAAGTCTTTATCTTGTTATATTAATGGCCATTTTCAAAAGAAAACCTCCACATTTTTATTTGTTTATGTTAAAGGAACATCATTTTTACGATATTCACAAAATTGTTTATATATCAACTTACACGAATATGTTTGATGTACATGTATTTAGTTATCTATGTTTAAAATTCTGTATGTGTGTTAATGATATATGTTGTATATAATTCATTATGTTTAAAATAAATAAGGTCATTCACTGACCATTTAATCACACATGGCATTGTTTTTCCTTACACCGGCCGTCATAAAAAATATTAAATCAATATAACTGTAGTAATGAAATCAGAAGATAGTTCAGCTATATATCAGATGCATGATTACTGTACATATAGTTGAAAACCTAAAATAAGAAAGTTTTCAGAAACTCAAAATGTACTGATATGTATATAAAACCATTATATATATATTCTATGTACAATGTCGATATCATGCAAATTAATTCATGTTCATCAACACATTATAACAATGTCCTTTGTTTGCTTCTTTTTCAGGCTGTATTACTACAAACACAACAACAACCTGATTTTCATATTTTCTTTTACACTTTACAAAATTTAATATGATAATAATTTTTATAATACAGTTATTGTAACATTTTTACTTAAGTTTCATAACTATAGTTGGGTCTCCACGTGAGCAAATCTGTGCCAAATTCAAGGTATTTCTTTTATCAAAGCAAGCAAAATTTTGACTCGGAGGCAAACATACTCTTCATAAAGCCACTCATTCTCATATTTGTATGTTTTTGCTGTCAAAGGACCATCTTCTTATACTATACTTTTTTACCTTATCTACCAGACTTCTTACACTCTGGATAACAGAAAGAGGTGCATAATTAAATTCCACACTTTCATCAAAAAGTTATATAAATTTTTATCAGTTATTGCATGAATCCTATATCCGATCAGCAGACAAGACAGACAGACAAGTCAGACAGCAGACACGGTAAAAAACGCAGTAAGGGAAAATTGGTTTGAGTCAACACAAAACATTACATGTATATAACAACATGTACATTACAACGAAATCAAGAACTAATGTAACTTTTAAGATATCAAGTCAAGCATGTAAAATGGTTACACCCGTGTTCATGGTTTTGCTTCAGTACCTTCTAACATGTGTGATAATTTACGAAAAAACGCATCAATGCATCTAGGTATAGTACCTACCCTTTACGGTCTGCTAAACATTTTAATGTTAGTTATATGAAATGGTTTTTTGTTTCGTCGAACAAAATTATACATAAATGGTGAAAGGAATATATTCACGTAAGTATTTTACTTGTCTTTTCTGCAAGTGATTTATAAAAGTACCTTTTTTCCTTATTACTGACATTGCTGTAAGTTTAACTGATTTCTTAAATTTTTGTTTCATAATCCACATAAGGTTTGTATTAGAGAATAGTTATTGAAGAACATGTATACAACATTGAATTTTATTTATCTTTCTTACCGAATATTTTAATCCGTAACCATAATCACGTTGATTAGCCTGGCCAATTTAAACGCTTGTTATTTCAATTCGTTATCATTATAACGCCGATCCAATCCGTTATCATACTCATGCCGATTACTTCTTTACGGCAGAAAACAATAACAATTAAACAGAAATGATATAGAAAACACCATGCAGTAAACAGTTGTCAGGTAGTAAACAATAGGCATTAAACAGAAATAAGAAGAAAGACAAATTGGTCAGGTAGTAAACAATAGACATTAACCAGAAATAAGAGGCAGGTCACATTGGTCAGGTAGTTATCAATAGGCATTAAGCAGAAATAAGAGGCAAGGCAAATTGGTCAGGTAGTAAACAATAGACATTAACCAGAAATAAGAGGCAGGTCACAGTGGTCAGGTAGTAAACAATAGAAATTAAATAGTAATATGAGAGTAAACAGTGGTCTGGTAGTAAACAATAGAAGTTGTATCATAGTTTGGGGACCTTTCTGTTGAAAAAGTGTCAGATTTAAATCGTATACATATACATGCACAGTGCGGTAACTGGAGTGCAGGTATCAGTTACCCGCACTCCAGATAATGCCCGTGGATTGGTTCATTTTTGCCGGGGTTTACATATTGTGACGGCAGAGAAAGGGAAAGGGGCAGAACTATCATAATCAAATGCTCGTTCATTGGTTATTTTTTTCTGGGGTTTCATATTATGACAACAGGGAACGTGCTGTCATGTTTGACTATGATACAAAAGAGAAAGAACACCAAAACACTCGGCAATCTGATTTATACTCGGGGGCTACGCCCCCTCGTACAAATCAGATAGCCTCGTGTTTCGGTGCTCTTTCTATTACTTAACCAGAAATAAGAGGCAGGTCACAGTGGTCAGGTAGTTATCAATAAGCGTTAAGCAGAAATAAGAGGCAGGTCACAGTGGTCCAGTAGTAAACAATAGAAGTTAACCAGAAATAAGAGGCAGGTCACATTGGTCAGGTAGTTATCAATAAGCGTTAAGCAGAAATAAGAGGCAGGTCACAGTGGTCAAGTAGTAAACAATAGGCATTAAAAAGAAATAAGAGGCATTTCACAGTGGTCAGGTGGTAATCAACAGGCATTAAACAGAAATAAGAGGCAGGTCACAGTGGTCAGGTGGTAATCAATACTCATCAATAGGCATTAACCAGAAATAAGAGGCAGGTCACAGTTGTCAGGTAGTAAACAATAGTCATTTAACAGAAATAAGAGGCAGGTCACAGTGGTCAGGTAGTAAACAATAGACATTAACCAGAAATAAGAGGCAGTTCACAGTGGTCAGGTAGTAAACAATAGACATTAAATAGTAATATGAGAGTAAACAGTGGTCTGGTAGTAAACAATAGACATTATCCAGAAATAGGACATTAAAAAGGGTCAGGTAGAACAGAAAAATGGCAGGAAACAGTGGTCTGGTAGTAAACAATAGACAATTAACAGAAATATACCAAAAAACAGTGGTCAGGTAGTAATCAATAGACATTAAATAGTAATATGACAGTAAACAGTGGTCTGGTAGTAAACAATAGACATTAACCAGAAATATGACATTGAAAAAGGGTCAGGTAGAACAGAAATATGAAAGAAAACAGTTGTCTGGTAGTAAACAATAGCCATTAACCGGAAATATTACAGAAAACAGTGGTCTGGTAGAAAACAATAGCCCTTAACCGGAAATATGACAGAAAACAGTGGTCTGGTAGTAAATAATAGCCATTAACCAGAAATATGACAGAAAACAGTGGTCTGGTAGTAAATAATAGCCATTAACCAGAAATATGACAGTAAACAGTGGTCTGGTAGTAAATAATAGCCATTAACCAGAAATATGACAGTAAACAGTGGTCTGGTAGTAAATAATAGCCATTAACCAGAAATATGACAGAAAACAGTGGTCTGGTAGTAAATAATAGCCATTAACCAGAAATATGACAGAAAACAGTGGTCTGGTAGTAAATAATAGCCATTAACCAGAAATATGACAGTAAACAGTGGTCTGGTAGTAAACAATAGACATTAACTAGAAATATGACATAAAAAGGGTCAGGTATAACAGAAATGTGACAGAAACAGTGGTCTGGTAGTAAACAATAGACATTAACCATAAATATGACAGTAAATAGTGATTTGGTAGTAAACAATAGACATTCAAAAAAAATATGACAGTAAACAATGGTCAGGTGGAACAGAAATATGACAGTAAACAGTGGTCAGGTAGTAAACAATAGACATTAAACAGAAATAAGATAGAAAACATCCGGCAGTAAACAATAGCCATTCAATTGAAATATGATAGTAAATAGTGATCAAGTAGAAAAACAACATGCATTAGACAGTAATAAGATAGAACAAATTAGGCAGTCAAGTAAACAATAGACATTAAACAAAAATATGACAGTAAACAGTGGTCAGGTAGAAAAGCAATAGACGTTAAACTGTAATAAGATAAAAACAAAAACAAAACAAACAGACAGACAGTTAACAGTGATCAGGTAGTAAACAACAGGCATTAAACACAATAAAATAAGTAGTTAAAATATCAGTAAGCAGTTGAGAGTGCACATAAGTCAAATAAAGGAGTGGATAGTATATATATATAAACTTTGTAAAATTCCAAACAATATACAAGATAAAAAGTTTTATTTCAAAAATAATAATCTTGCAAATATGGCGCCAGTCCAAGTCCATAACTTTGAATCTTTACTCCAAACAAAAAAGCGTTTTAAAATATTCTATAGAAAAGGCTTATGAACGTTCCCTTATAATTTGTAACAACATTTACGTAAATGAATCATAAATTATGCTTTACATGTACATATATTTATCTTTATTAATGCTATAAACAGAATGTGTGCAGCATGCAATACTATATATTGCAATCATAATAGTGTTTGTATCTTCTACAGGGTCATGAAAGGGTCAACACCATATGTGGCATTATGCTGCCTTGTAAGTAAAATATTAAATTCCTCCAATGTTCATTAATTAGCTGATATAAATTACATACTATTTCTTAAAAGAAAAACACGTTACAATTTAAAGACTTTTAACAAGTATTTTTTTAACTTTATGCTTAATCTTGTATCTTAAATATAGACAAAATATGTTAGACTCTAGACTTGATCCGTGTTTATTAGTCATCAAATTACTCTTTTCTCCAAGATATTCACAATGGTAGCGGTCCGACAAAAAAAGTAATGATGCTTTTTATCAATATGATTTCTTTTCTATATGACTCTTCTGTTACCATTATGAGTAAAGTGCGGTATAAGATATAGTACAAATTACTTTGGACCTCATAACATTATAAAGTGACCCCCCAACCTGCCCTCAACATTGAACGGACCTCTCCGGACTGACTGATCGGTCACTATAATGCATTAATGCTATGAGGTCCTCTGTGGTGGTGATGTTGGTATTTTTCAATCCCTATCACGGCAGTAAGCCACACAGTTCAGCCACCAAATCGTTTCTGGGCAGTTGCCTTTACTTTCGCAAGGGACGGATAACTTATGTACATTGTACATGCCAGAATAAAGGTACAGTGCGAATGACCGTAGAAAGGATTTCATGATCACAAAGAAAGCGACCTGCACCGTTCGGGAATCGAACCCGGGTCGCCCGATTTACAGTCTAACGCTCTACTTATTGAGCAAACCGGACAACCCTGAGTTATAGTCTGCATGATCAGATTACACGGATGTGCTTGCTGGCTTTCCTTTGTCACTCCCGTGTGTGAAGAACCAGAACAAAATTTAAGACATGATTTCTCCATTATCTGGTCTTGTCTAAATTTATGAATATATATTTGTTTGTTAATAATTACAGAGCCTGTTTGTCGGTATAGAAGCCCAGACAGAACCTGTACAAAACGGTAATTATCTTTATTTGATAAAAATACATTAAATATCATGCAAACACTTCTCTATGTAAAGAATATTTTCTGTTTTTACATTATATCCATTTTCAATTTTATATAACCTTACCAAGTACCTTACTGTATCCACTTGTTCATAAAGTCTGCTGATCTACCCAGTGTTTGGCCCTTCATGGTGTACATATATATTATAAAACAAAATGAATGTACTCATATATTTTTACAACGTAAAATTAAAATATCACCAATTCTAAATCATATCATTTCAGGCGCTATGTCGTGCATTCTTAACACAGAAACAAACATAATGACAGCAACCATGGCAATCTTTAAGAAAACCTCCATAGTTACAAGAGCTTTCTTCACGAAACTTGATTCTTACGACATAGAATACAATCAAGCCGGATGTGTCTGGTCCGGAACCGGAACGGATGAAAATCCGTTTAAATCAACTGTCGAGGTTGACAGCTTAACAAATATGCCGCCCACAGGAAAGAACGGTTGTGGATATGAAATTGTTGATGTATGTTTGTAAATTCAATGTGTATGTTAAACTTGATATATTTGGTTAATGTTTATCTATTACCCCACAAAGAATGCGAGATATTGCCCCTTCCCCCAACCCAAGTCAGAATAAATATAATTTTGGACAACAAATTACTCTGAAATATGTAATATAGATGTATTCTACATATAAATCATTAGACATAAAGGTAATGGCAAACGTTTATTTTTTTTATAATTGTTATTCAGACACTGTCGCATCTTAAAAAAATTCTGCACATGAACTTAGATTTATATAAAATTATTACATGATATCTTTTCACTTGTACATGTATTTTACAGATACAGGAGCAGATCTACCGTTGGACTGTTTATAATCAAATACAGAACGAGTACGGGCGGGAAGGTGATGTTGTATTTATATTTGAATGTACAGGGAAAAACACACCAACTTCCGGCACAGTTACAGTACAATTGGCGTGAGCTTTATTTTCTTTTATAATGGAATTATTAAATGTGAACGCGTGATTATATAAATTATTATTTTTTTTATGTTTTTTATGTACTTTAAATTAATTTTCTTAAATGTCTAGCGTGAAAGTGTTAAACTTCGCGTCAGATCCGCTCGAATGTCTATGTAATTTGGAACATTCGTTTATCAATGTTTTTTTACAGAAAAACTTCCATACCTTTTATACAAATGTATCTATTTGGAAAGCGTTTGATCATAGCGTCGCTTATTTGATTCGTTTTACACATGTATTGTAGAAATAACCAAACTTTCGTCGAGCTTTTTAACCCAACTTTTTTCGAGCTATAAAATGAGTGTTATATGCACTAGTCAATAAGCACGTGTCAAAGATACTTAGCTGTGGTTTAACTTTGGCATCGATAAGTCTAAGGTAATATCCAAAAGGCAATGCCGAGGATTTTAACTGGCGTTAATTTGTCTATAGGAACATTTTCCACAAGAAAGAGCCTTTACCGGGGGTTAAAACATAAGAATAAGTCCCAGCTCTTCCCAGAAGATAGAGGAAATGGGGCGTTATCACAATTAACTATTGAAGATGACGGTTGTCATTTTCTTCTTTTACCGCTAGGGTTATTATTTCATATGTATCCACAGAGCACAAGATAAAGTAGGAGAAGCCGTTAGAGTGAGACCAGAGAATCAAATGTCTGTGCTAGAGCGGTTCGGAAACAGTGATGTGTTCGGCCAGGTGGTAACAAATGGCATTCATGTCGGTCAGGATATCAAACTCCGGGTTCAGACAAAAGTAAAAAATCAACAAACTAGGCAAGGTAATGAATAGAAACAAAATCACTTAAAGGAATTTTATTAAAACAATGTTTGTTTTAAAATTTGACATAGTTTAAGCAGAGTTCACATTGACAATCCGATCGATTAAGCATGCACGACTTTACGATCGGGGACTGACCACTGTGACCAGGCGTCCATAGCACGAGTGGTCAGGGTAGTCTACTATTGTCTGCATTCCTACCCGAAGAATTCTGACGTGTTAAAAATGCGGGTAAGAATTGAGAAGTCAATATGTCAATTATGATAATTATATAGTGAAAACGAGTGTTCATTTGAATTAGATAAATTTACCGAACAGCATCTGATCATCTTGTGCAGATCCAGCATAGATCGGAAAAATCGATTAAATATCGAATATGTTCATGGTGTTGAAATCATCGGGGAGACGTGCATGGTCATGCGAATGCTCATGCGTCGACCCTATACCTCTGAGTGGTAATTGTGGATGATCCAAAATAACGTTTGCTGTAAATGTTACATAGGTCATTCTATCGTTTATAAAATAAACCATCATGAATTGGAGTATGTCCGGCATATTCTTACAACATATTCTCAAAAAACAAAACAAAAAACAAGTCATTGAAAAACTACATACAAAATAAATGAGTCGCTATTGTTTACGCGACGCACGCCGTTGCTCATTTCAAAAAGTTTTTTTCGTCGCTATGGTATGGTAGCTGGTAGCTGATTTGTTACACTTTTACGCGTCGCGTTGTCGCTGACAACAACACGACGAAGCACCAAACGGCGCGCTATCGCCGTGTCAACTTGTCGTCCTGTCGCTAGCGAAATACGTTGTCTCGATGCGTGTTTGTCGCGATGACAAACGTCACGTTTGCCAGGTCATAATTTGTCTTCCTAACACGAGCTAGATGCTCATCTAGGCTGCCCTGGCCGTCAAAAAACTAATACTAAAGTATTTCTATATTAAAAAAAAGTTTACTGTTCAGAGTCAGAGTATATTCCATTTTGGTAGAATCGGTCATCTTTTGCATTTGTGGCTTTGTGTGGCGCTTTTTTCACCTGTATTGTTTCTTCAATTTAGACATACAAAACGTGTATCGTGCAATTGAACAGTCGTCGCAAAATCTGCCTGCGCCGCATACAGTAGGTGTTACTATGGTTATAGAATGGCATGTTGCGCTTGCAATTTTTACTCAATATATTATTTTTCTATCTTATCTCATTTATTTAGCATTCCGATTTTTTTCAATATATGGTTAACTAAATTTAAACCACATGTGACTAAGCCATTGCAAAAGCTGACGTTGTTTTGGATCACCCCTCGTGTAACATTAGTAAAGCATTCGACGAGGATTTCGGGCGTTTAGGCCGGAACGGTAGTAACTGTAAGAGTCTGACTTGATTAGCTGTACTATAACTGAAATCTCTGACAACCGGTCTGGGTATTCAATGTATATATATTTTAGTTATCACTAACCAGTGTCATCTTGTATTGGTCCATGACAAGTGTCCTTGACAATATTTCAGTTTCGTCTACAAAAATGGAAGGAAACCAAAACAGCACGTTGGTTAAACTTATTATAAATCAGTGCACGTGTGCACTATGATAAATTTAATTATAACTCTCGTGACACTGTATATTGTGTAAATCTAATATTCAAAAATAAGCGAACATATATAAAATGTAACAGACAATAATAAGTATTTGTATTTTCAGCAAGCATAGACCACTACGGAATATTTGTGTATAGCTGTGATTACAGGATAGAGGAGAATGCTCCCCCAGTACAATTTATACAGATTAACGGGTATCATACCTCTATCATATATATCATTAGTTAAAAACATTCTTAAAGGTTATATGGTCGTATATAAACGGTTATTTGCATATAATAATAAATTATATTGCAAACAACCGTTTACATACGGCCATATAACTTGGCAAGAATCTTTATTACGAATTTATAACCAGCCTTCAAATTCTATAATGTGTGATTTTATTATTTTTTATATTGATGTGTTTTTTAACGTTTTCTCTATTTGTTGAGTGAATTTTATACGTAACTATTACACATGTTGGCTTATCCTTTGACTTTGACCGTGTTTATGAACTGTGTTCTTATATTCTAAAATATTCTGTCATGATAATTCTCGCCGATATAATAATTACCCTTGAATTAAAATTAAATGTCTTACGATAACAAGGCGAAACCATAACACCATGTTTCGTGATAATAATTATGTCTGTTTTGTTTTGTTAATGTGAAAACGTGAATACATGGTGAATTTGGCACGTTTCATTCTTTTTTTATCTTCCTTCAGTCTACACGAAAAAAACTGTTGTGCATACTAAACGCAATGTAATTTCTAAAACTTTAGAATATGATTTATTGTAGATACTGGGGTTTTTTTAAAAAAAAGACTTTTTGCTGTAGATTGAATTGAAAATTTGCAAAACTGTATTGAGAAGTACGTTAATTTGAAAATTAAACTAAATGTGCCATAAGATTTCAATTTGAAAGTCAATAAAATGCATGTTAATACTTGTATGTGTGTGTACTTTGCTCTTTCTATATAAACTACATGTATATATGATGTAACATGCATTGATATTTTTTACATTTTTAAACAATATTAGGTGTCCTAACAGCATTTTCAACGATCTTGGGGGTGGATTTAAATTTGCACAGAATGCTCCTGCCAGTGCAGCGAATACACGCTGGTTCCAAACTGAAACGGACATGTTTAAGTTGGTTCCCACCGACGTTCCCGACAATAGCTTCTACTTACTACGATGTTATGTCGCCTACTGTTACGGACCGGAAGGCTCGGACAACAGATGTCAAGATGTAAAATTTTAAAGCAACTGCTTATTTCTACAATATCTAAATAAAGGGTCGTTTAAACTATGGTCAATCATGTAATAAGACCACTCGTGAAGGGAGACCACTTTCCGTAATATAATATGCTTTTGCGATTATTGTTTGTACATACTCGTTAGATCATAGTTTAACTGATATGTATATTTTTATAGTAAGTTATAAAATGCTTGTACTATCAAAAACCTTGTGTTGTTTTTGCTTCAGTATTGTAATAGCAATATTAGACGCAGACGATCGTTTAACGGCACAGTTGAGAGTATCACCATTAAAGTTAAAGTGAATAAGAATGTGAATGTCAGTAACGGAAATGAAAAACAAACTGGTAAATACAAGAAGCGATTTTTCCTAGAAAAATATCATTTGGCAAGGTGTAAGATTTTTGTCATTGGCAAAATGAATAGAACAACACATCTGGTCATTTTACTGTGCAAAAATGCTTTAATCAATATACATTAACAAGTATTATTATTTCAATTATTCATTTAAATGGTAAACAGGGAAGCCAAATCGGCATCTGTTATCTGGGTGCATCTTAATATAATCGCTATAATTTTCTAATATTAAAGTGTTGAAAGTTTTGGAAGTAAGTCTATAGTTCACCTATAACCCTTTATCTATACAAAAAGGCAACTTTGGGTTTCAAATTAGATATTTTAAAACGTGTATAACTCGCTCAAATCTCATTTTTTCTATGTGTATGTTATAGATTCTGATGAAGCAGATATTATGGTGATTTTGGCAACAACCATAGCTATGATGGTGTTTTTCCTAGTTATAGCTGTCGGAGTGATATGTTGCTGCAGACGATACCGTCGTAAACCGGAAACAGATTGGAAGGATACGTCAACTACCAGTTCCAACAAGAACATTTTACCTGATTACCCAACCAATTATTACCCTGCATATCCAATAAATAATCCAAAATTTTAAAAAATGACTGATATCAGTACTGTAGAAAAGTATATAAAACCATTGTCAAATACAAAAAAAATGCACGTGACAAGTTTAGTAGATAATGTTATGTATTTACTAAAGTGAATATACTTATTCTAATTGGCTGTTACTTAAAGGCCCATTTAGCCTCAGAAATGCTATCATTTTTATTCTTTTTTTTTTTCATTTTGTTCTTACTTATCTTGTTATAGTTTCCAAACAGTTACTTATTGGATATATCGATAAACTATCATTTGCTCCTTTTCACTTTAAGCAAATTAGTATCAATATAGTAATAGAGTATTTTGTATGAAAATTTCAAAATACTGCTATGTTTAAATTTTGCTACCTAAACAACACGTACATGACTGCATGTTCATCGTTCCTCTATTTAGGTGTGTAACATATCAAATGCTCTTAATCTATTACGAAAACATTATGGAACACATATCCACATATGTTTTTTTTAAATGTTGATTTCTGAGGCACAATGTGCCTTTAACTCATTATTGAATATATATACAAATATATTTCCAGAAAAATAATTTCCAAAAAACCTCCAAATATCTCTTTTCTGCTGATAACGGGATAATGTGAAAATATTTAAATTAGTCTAATCAAAACATTCAATACAACAAACAATATTGCTGCTGACTGATTTTTTTTATAAAATTCATAAACGTTATAAGTATGTTGTTTCCTTAATCGTATGGTTCGATTCTCAAAAGAGTTGTAACATACAATATATCTGTTATTTAGTACACATGGATATAATGTTATGGAACAAAATATTATGCTGCTATCTTAAGTAGGTTTTACCTTTTACCAGTAATTTTGCGGATGCGCTATTAAATGAAAAACATTTCTTTCAAATAGATATTTTGGAATTATTCTTTTTCAAAACTAAAACAAAAATGTTGTAATCTACTGACAGCAGATATATAGTTTTATATACACTTTTATGATTAACCAGGGTTTTCGGCTGTGAATATCTTTGTACTTGACAAATTATATAATATGTCATTTTTATTACTTATTGCTTTGGTTTTCTCAAATATTGTTAATATTAAGAACATTGAATTCTAAAAAACCCATAAATTATTTTAAGTTTATCAATTTTTATCATCAAGATTATTATTAGGCTTTTCTAGACACCAATTTTCTTAATTTCTCACTCTATTCATTCATTTGCTTAAGTTATAACATGAAATTAGTTACTGAAACAATACTTCAAATTAAATGTCACTGAAATTTGATATCACACAACTACATTCAAATGATTTAACATAACTTTGACTAACTTTGGGAGGGAGCCTAACCCTTTTGTATGTACACTTGATTATGTTTGTAAAATTGTGAAATTGCATATCTTGTGTATATTAATACAATAAAATTATATTGAACTAAAAGTTGTCATTTCGTGAATTAAGTTCATGAATTATCATTAAACGGCAGTTAATCCCGTTTATAGTTCCAGATATGTATCCCAGACATCAATATAACTATATTTTATTTCAATACAAAGTTCGTCCATCCAAATCTAGTGTCCGTGCAGCTTCAAATCAATTATAATAAATTTTACCTGTTTAGTATACACATGTACAATAATAAGACAATAAGAAACATATGGATTAGAGAATATGTTAAACTGGGGCGCAAAAGTTGAACTTAGAAAAGAACCACTAAAAATTCCACATTTCATTTTCAAGTACAAAGCATCTGTGTGTGACAGGATTTTTTTATGTCAAACTTTATAAAGAATAAATCAACACTGACACAATTATACATCAAGCATCTATAGTCTTAAAGAATTTTAAAGCTTTTTGCTACCTTAGATTATGTAAAGGTAGTGACACCTTGGATGGGGTAAATTTAGAAGCCACAGTGGTATAATCTAAAAAACTTGGTCAAAACCACAAACACAATGCTGTCTTTCAAATATGAAGCCTGTGAAGTTAGGTTTCTGACAAGAAGACTTTAAGGCCTCGACGAAGTCAAATTTAACCCTGAAAACACACACACACACACGCACGCACACACGCGCGCGTACATATAAACAAACACAGTCAGACGCTACAAAGCGTAGAGCTATGATATATGGAATATAACATTTCGTAGATCACCTTACAAGTTGCACAAAATATGGGGTGGGGAGGGGAATGGGCTACACCCTTAAGGTAACGTACTTTATATCAGTCCACACAAATGTTAGATTTTAGTTATGTTACACTGTCTTGTGGTCCTTAAACAAAGTTGCATACCATGTCCCATGAACCAAAAATAGCATTCTCATGTGTTGTTTTAGAAATATTATATAGATTTATTTTATTTCATTTAATGCACTTCTTGAATTTAAAACTATGGACATCATTTCACAATCACGAATGACCAAGGGGGAAAATATTTATAGTTTGATCAAATATCCTACACAAATATTAGCAGGACGTCCGTGGTCCATAAAATGCCGTACGGCGTCATTACTTACAACTTTTGGTTTTCAATTACGAAATATCAACTTACGACTTTGACAAAACTTGATAGTGATAATGTATCAGGAACAGTTTATCTCACCAGAACCAAAGGTACCAATGGTGCATTCTCAATTTCCCGCAAGTGCAGCAATTTGCAATTGTCAGCAGCATCGTCATCTGAGTTTTAAAAACTGAAAAAACTTTTAAACCCTTTTCAACAGATTTTTCAGCATGTTTTTCCTGACTCTAAATAAATCACCCGAAGCGTTACTCGGGGGGAAAGCAAAACGACGGGGCCCAAGGTAAAACTCATCTGAAGTACTGAATGAATGTTTAAATTTCGGAAAAAAGGGGAAGTGTTTTTGCGCTGAAAATGGTCGTTTTGAAAGATGTCTTGGTATCTTGTCCTACTGCTACCATCTACCATAGAAAATGAATTGAATGTCTATTTTATGTCCCAGTACCAACGTACATAGAACAAGCCAGCTAACAGACCTTCTTTCTCAGCTACGAGATCTCACGATCGTGACTCAGTTGGGTTATTGTCCAATACATAACCTCCTGTCATAGTAAAATTTTATTTTTGGCAAGAATTTTAGAATTGAAATATCACAAAGCAACTAGTGAACAAATACTTTTCATGTTAATTTACAAACACCATTATGTAAGCCTATATTAGAAATGCTAACTTTTTTCTAAGTTATATTATTTTATCATCTTTTTTTTAATTAACATACATGTATATGTCTATCTGGTTTCATCTTGTTCTATCTTTTTTATTCATATGACCCAGGTGGAAATTAGCCTTCTAGCTAAATGGGCTATCCTTGTAACCATAGATCACATTAAACAAAAATATTGTATTATTTCTTTTTATTATCTGTATAAATACCGACACATTTTTATCCTCCATTACAATATCTTAACGTCTATTTAAACTTAATAGATAACAATATAATTTTACACAGATTTTGTGCTCTTAGTTATTGGCGACGTCGGTGATATATATATATATATATATATATAGTAGTAGTATTAAAAAAGTTTCTAATAAAATTCAATAAGCACATTTTCGGTTAATGTTTTGGTAAGTTTATGGAAACATTTCCTCTACATTTTCCAAAACGGGCATAAAGTTAACAATTTTAAGTCCCGGATTTACATAAAAAATGTTTATATCATTTGATTGGAATAAACAGTATATAAAGCTGTATGCCTCCAACCACAATATGAGGAAAATCTTGAGTTAAATGTGTGCCATTTGCGCCAAAATATCTCCGTTGCGTTATTTAGTCATACCGGTAGGAGCAGCAAAATTTCGGTACACGGTTCACTCGGCCGTATAATAGTGCATGGTGATATTGTACCTGTAATGTTCACTGTTACTATTTATCGGAAAATGAAATAGTAAAACGCTATTCAGAAAACAATACGGTAATCGATTTATACAATTTAAAAGATTAAAACGGAATGAAACATCCACGTAGCGCTAATTTTCGTAAATGATATTTTCCGATTTTTCTATGTACCGATTTGTTCACTTCGATGTTAATTTTCCGTTAAAGTTAAGTCGTATTTTGAAACGAAGTAGACTTTAGGCTTTAAATAAGATTTGTTCACTACAATCAGATACGCAAAAATGGATGCCTCCAGCAATCAGTCTGAACACTGTGGAGAGGTCTGATGACCTCTCCAATTAGCACAAGCATGTAGTAAATCTGCACGTGAAAGTCGTGCATAACAGTTATCTACAACTGAAAGGAATGTCATTCAGAGATTTATAATGTATTTCTACGTGCATTGGGGAAAATCGTAATATGGACCAATGGGACTATGTTGGATAAGACTTAGTCAGTAAAATATGAGTAATGGCAATTTATAAATTTTACACATAGATAATATGTACATGTACTTGTATAGACATCTGTTTTATGAAAAAAATAACTTCATTTGTGAATAGGAAATTATATACAAAGAAAATGTTGAGAGAAAAATAAGCACGCAATTTAAAGGAAACAAACAAATTAACAAGTGAGAAATATTAGATAAAATCTTGAATTACTGATGGAGGCATTAGGATTATTGAAAAGCCTTTGTAATAGAATTAATGAATTTCACGAGGCTCCTTAAAACATGTATTTATTTGACCCTAATAGTGATTTCAGCGAAAGTTCGCGTTCGTGTATTAATTTTGCGTTTTGGAAGAAATGCTCTCTTTGTCTCCCGAAAAAAACTACAATGTAACAAGTAATACTGTTCCACCGTGTATATCCAGTAACGCCGGAATGTGAAAATAACGCACGATTCGTGCAATAAGTAACGCATAATTGTGCAATGAATTGCGGATACCGTACAGGATTTCCAACGCGGTATGTAAACTGGCCAATATATTTTTTATTTAACGAACTGAAAAAAATGAATAGCCGCATACGACATAACTCTTAATGACATTTTTAGAATCTTGTGATTAAAATAATTGCTGTTACTTGTATCATCCCATACTATAAATCAAACATTGAAACATAAAAATTATACGCGAAAGAACAACTGACTTCAAGAAATTTTCCTAATGACTTCCAAAATTCCTTGAAAGGAAGTCCTGACTTCGTAAAAAAATTCCTAGTGGAAGCCCTGGTTTGCTGGCGTCGCACATTCTTGTTTTATTTAAATCCGTACGATTTGACAGATAATTTGCTTTAGAATCGTGATAGTTATTTCGAGCTTTAAAGCATTTCGGACCGAGCCAAGATTTATTAGTGTTTGCTTATTTATTTTCTAGAACATACTTAATTGTTACCACCTTGTTAGCTATTTAACAAATGAATGAATATCACTAGACCTCTGTACAATAATCTTAATCTCTCACAATGAAGATGTTGATATATACAGTAGGGTTAAAATACCCGAAAAAGGTGTTAAATTGTAACAAAGACTTTTCAGAATCAATAAACATAAAAAGCACTTTTAATATCAAATACATTTTTTAAATAATTCATTAAGAAATATTTAATTTATAAGAGTAATTCAAAACTAAAATGATAACTTAAAAAAAAAATTGGGGGAGAACTGTCTGCATATTTCCTGGGACATACGATAACGTTATCGTATGTCCCAGATATTTCAGATTTGGGTGAGAACCGTAAGGGGAGGAAACGGTTTGGGAGAGAACCGTCTGGACTGGTAATGGAGAGAATAGTCTGTCATTCTTATTTATGTTTATATAACTGTTATCTATGATGTTGCAAAAATATAATTAACATCATAATTATGACTACAATATTTCCGATACCAAATCGTCAACTATTTAACAAAACTTAAAATTAAAATATAATTATCATTTCAACTTACTTAAAATGTTTAATGTCAAATGTTTAAATAAGAATGTACTTTTTTTCAAAGTAAATTGTAATTGTATTGGAAGAACACTTTTAATTTGAATAAACTAAGCATGCTTCGATTTAGCATAATATCATTTAGAGGTGTGATACATTTAGTTAAAAAAAATCGGACTCTTATTATTATGGCACCGCCCGGTATAGTCTGTATGGTAATAGGACATTTCGGACCATGGACGTTTCGGACCAGACACTTCGGACCAGATTTTGGGACACTTCGGACCAGATTTTGGGACATTTCGGACCAGATATTTGGACATTTCGGACCATGTGTTGGACATTTCGGACCATGTGTTGGACATTTCGGACCATTGTTTTGGACATTTCGGACCAGATTAAATATTATTTTTTGATATATTAGGCATCAATTATTCGATAAACTAAAGAAACTTTATATATATATTGAAACAATGGAACGATTTTACACCTATCCCGATTTAGATTTTATATATTTTGCACTATTAATGAAGAAAATTAAAAAACAAACAAGCAATGTTTTAATGACACACGTTTGCAAACAATTTATTTTAAATTGTATTTGTA